AAGATCCAAATTCCTCTCTCACTTGAGATGTACCTATTTAACATGACTTCAATGTTAAATAAAGAAGATTATAAAAAACACTGGCAAATTCTACAGTATTTAGTGACAGTGGCGAGATTAGTCAGTGCTAGAGGATGGAAGACAGAAGAACCCCCAAAAGTCAAAGATTGGGCATTAAAATTGAGGAAATGAAAATTATGGATAAATTAATGCACTTGATCAATAATAGAATGATCGACATCATGGAAAAAGAATGGCAACCATTTATCATATATTGTGACGAAATAGAATGTCAATAAATAGTGGTTAAACTCTGAAATAATTTGGTAACAAAAGGAATTTAGGCATTATTAGTTTGATAAATAAGTCAAAATAAAGATACATTAAAGACATACAAGTGCTAATATATATTCACACAAACACACATATACATACACACACACACATATATATATATACTCAATAAGATACATATACATATAGATTATTTGCTCATAAAAATGTATATTTTTTGCATTCTCTTAGATGGTTATAAAATGGAGAAGAAAAGAAGTAAATGTCTTTATATAAAAGAACTTTATTTGTAGAGAGACTACTATAAACTAATGTTCTTGCAAAATAAAGGAGAGTTTTATAAATTGAGCAATGTAATTTCAGATTTAGAATTATGGTAAAGAAAGTGCCAACCACACATTGTAAGTGTATTTTTTTAGCTTCAAAATTCAAAGCAAGATTCAGTAAGATGACAAAAAAGCACATAGCCCTTTGGTTTAAGTGAATAATACAATGAAGTCTTTTATTTGTGTGTCTTGTTTACATTGTATTGTATTTTAAAATTAACAAACACATCATAATAATAAAAAAGAAACCCACTGGGTGACCTTGGACAAGTCACATGCTCTCATCCTCAGGGCAAGGCAATGGCAAACCTCCTCTGAACAAATCTTGCCAAGAAAACCCCAGGATAGGTTTGTCTTAGGGTCTCCATAATTGGGAAACGACTTGAAGGCGCCCAAGAACAACTAGGGCAAGTCACGCTCTCTCAGCCTCAAGGGAAAGCAATGGCAAACCTCTTCTGACCAAATCTTGCCAAGAAAACCCCTTAGGGTTGCCATGAAGGCACACAAAACAAAAATAAAACTATGAAATTCATGGGATCCCCATAAGCTGACAGCCAACTTGAAGGCGCACACACACACACACACAACTAGCAAGTTCCTGAGCCGCAGCCACACTAGCTTGTTCCATTAAAAACAACAACCTTATGAGGGTTTGTCTTTTCTTAATTGCTGCATAAACCCTTCTGGACCAGCCCAACTACTAGGGAGACGTTTCCCCTGAAAGGAGAAAATCAGATTTAACCCAAGCAACGAGAGCCAGCGTGACTCAGTGGTTTGGGTGTTGGACTATGACTCTTGAGACCAGGGTTCGAATCCTGGCTCGGCTATGGAAACCCACTGGGTGACCTTGGGTAAGTCACACTCTCTCAGCCTCAGGGGACGGCCATGGCAAACCTCCTCTGAAGAAACTTCCCAAGGAAACCCCATGACAAGGTCGCCATAAATTGGAAAGGACTTGAAGGCACACAACAACGACAACAGAACGGCACTTACTTCGGAGTAAATCCACCTTAGACTCCTAACCCCGTCTCTTCCGCCCAAACACTACCGGCTTCTCGCTTTACTTCCGCCCGGCCGCCTCAAGAAGGGGGCGGAGCTTGAAGGGTTGGCCCTTCGGGAAGGAACATGGCGGCGGCTTTGAGAAGCGTGAAGGTAACAGGCCGGTCGTGGCTGCACAGCTTCCCTCTACGGGAGTCGGGAAGGGACAAATGTCTGCGCGTTGAGCCTGAGACCGTTCCGGCTGCTATAGAGGGGAAAGACAATGGGTCAAAC